CAAAGCGAGGTCCATACAGAAATGGTTTGTCAAGGTCGGTGTGGAAGAACTTGACTGGCCTGCACAGAGCCCTGACCTCAACTCCATCGAACACCTTTGGGATGAATTGGAACGCCAACTGCGAGCCAGGCTCAATCGCCCAACATCAGTGCCCGACCTCAATAATGCTCTTGTGGCTGAATGGAAGTCCCTGCTGCAATGTTCCAACATCTAGTGGAAAGCCTTCCCAGAAGGGTGGAGGCTGTTATAGCAGCCAAGGGGGGGATCAACTCCATATTAACGCCCATGATTTTGGAATGAGATGTATTTCAGGTGGGGCTGGTGCCCCCCTCCTCGTACCGCCCCTGACTGAAATTAATGGGGCAGGGGCGTGAATTGACAGCACGGCTAAGCGGAGGAGACGCTGTGCATCCGAATAGGGCCAGACTAATGCATTTGGGAGCACCTACACTAAGCCAAAAATAATAATAATAATACTTTTTTAGGATATTTCTTTTGGGGGGGGTGGCTAACTTCATGCATTTCAACACATTTTGCCATGGGGCAGACCTTTTCTTGTCGTGTTATGTTATTCTACACATTAAGCAATCTGGGGGGCCCCCGACCTCCAGGGGAACCCCAACCCAAAATAAAATATTATTGTGGGGGATGAATCGACCTGTTCTGAACATGTCCCCCCCCAACCCCATATGGAAATTACGCCTATGGGATAGGTAGTAAAGAGAAGATGCCACCATTAGCACACAATAACTCCATTGGTTTCAGTTCTGGTAGGACTGGCCTATTTTGGGCTATGAATATCTAGACCTTAACCCTAATTGTTTGTTAGAATCATTTGTCCCTATCAAAAATCAACCTATTTAATGTACAGTTGTCTATGAACTTCTGAGCCTTGATGGACCCATTGCTGCTTTGCTTTGTCTGGTTCATCAAGTAACAAAACAGCCTTCTCCACACCTCAAACTCAAGGAAAGTATCCCATGACGTTAACTTTGTTACCGGCCAGCTCCTTGTATAAAATCCTGCATCACTAGATATGCTTGGGCCATTTCTGATGGCCTGTGATCGAGAAACAAGAGCTCGGAGGGGAAACTGATGAGCTGTCCTGGATGGGAGATGCCAGAGAGGAAAAGGGAGAGGGAGAGCAAAGAAAAAGGACTATCGATCACCGACGTTCCTCTATTCTGAGCCGTGGATGACATCACCCCAGGTCTTTCACACCTACCTGTGGGTTGGGTTTGTACATTGTAAACCTTTGACCTCCTTTTATGAGCCTGACCAAGTTAGGACACCGGGCACACACTCCTGATAAGAAGTCCAGTCAGAGCTGAGTAATATTCAAACCACATATTCTTCTGACCTGCATGCTAGCGAGAGCCATGAATGTACATGGTCTGTGCTCTCTGCTTTATACAATGTGCACAAACCTTTACTGATAGGCTGGTTGTTCCAGTTGCTTCAAATTCTTTTCGGGAATGTGTTTGGGTAGTGGTGGGCTTCTTAGGCCATGTTCCCGGTTCCCCCGTTTTTCCCCTTACCCCTCCTGCTTGACGGATGAGGATGGAGTGTGCTGTGTGCCACTGCAGGCTGCCGGCGAATGCGGAATGGCTGCCGGGCGATGACTCATGTTCAACACACATACACTCTCTCCACTCTCTCGCTCCCTCTCTCTCTCGCGCACACACACAAGTGGCCATCTGCTTGTCAAGGAGACTGAATCATACGGTACGTGGGGAAGCACTTTTGAGCAAACAGCCTAGGAAATCAGGCACGGCCGCCGCTGCTTCCACCATGGTCAGGCTGATGATTGGGATGTTGCGTCGTCTCGCACACCGTGACGGTCTGCCGACGGAGACCATGAGGAATTTGTGACCGTGGCCGCGTGATGTAGGAGAGATGTCCGATTATAAAAGGCAAGCCGTCCGGTTTCTGTGTTTCTGCTGCTTCCCTGGTTTCTGCTTGCCATGTCTTTCTGTGTCTACTCTGCAATGTCCTCCTCCTCGCACATATTCTGGGGGGCTGTTGCTGCAGGGGCTGCTGCTTGTGACTACTGCTTGGTTAGGATAAGGTTTTGTTTTGGCTGTGGTGGAATAGGTTAGATGAGCGAAGCTGCCACCTTTTACAGAGGAGATTTGGTGTTTCTGTAACGCCGGGGCTCTCTCTGGCTTGTGCACTCTGGGCTTAATGTGTAATCATAGGTGAGTACATTCGCTGGCACTCTGCGAGATTGTTATGAATCATCCATGTGGGCTCCATGTTCATGGATCTCAGGGAGATGGATCGTCGGCCTTGTTTGCAAAGACGGGCTTTATTCAGACATTTTCTTCCTTCCTTTACCCGGTTTATTGGTCAAAACTCCAAATGAATATTCATTGTGTTTGGAAGTGCAGCCAGGGTATCTGGGATAATCATATCATGGCGTGTGTGTTTGTGTGAGTGACAGAGAGAATATGTGGGAGAGGAGAGAAGGGGGTGACCTCTGCAGAGGGAGAGGAATTACTCCCCCTCTTTAGTATGTACTATCATGGCTGCTGCATTCCAGGGGTGTCAACAAAACCCAAGCTTATCTCGCTCTGGGGGTGGGTGGGCTGTGGAGTCATCATCCCTCATATGATATCAAACACTGCCTGTCCGTCAGGATTTGACAAAGCATTTACCATGTCTAGGGACACATACACCCAATTCATACGTACTGGTGTAGTTTGTCTGGGATTTTATATGTAAAGGATTGCTGCTGATGAATTCATTTGGAACCCTTTTGCATTTTTCGCTTCTAGCCAGGTGTCCTTATTTCTCTGGTGTGCATTTCTCATGCTTCTTGGCATGGTTTGTACATGTCTGTGAGTTAGGCCTAGCTTGTCTGAGGGTGGAGGTGTGGGAGTGTTAATGGAGGTGTACCATCACTCATGCCCTCTTCAAATGCCAGATGGACAGTTAGTTTACCATGTTAAAAGCCATGGGCACATAGACATCTTTCAACTGCAATGGATGGAAAATTCCTGCCTAATATATTGTCAAATAGTTCAATCTGAGGTAGTGTAATGCATACAATTGTGCTGTACTCATGGTATAGCAACACTGAATCTTACAGGACTAGACTTGCCTCAGTATCCCTTTGAGAGGCCCTGATGACTAGAAAGACAAATGTAATTAATTGGACATCTTTATTAACAGGTGTCCTGGATGTGCATGAGGAGTAGTGTAAGGGTGAGATTAGGAAAGTGACAGGTTGAAAAACAATTAGGTTATTAGGTTATTAGGCGGCCATTACTTTTTGTAAAGCTGCATCTTTCTGTGTTTCTGATCTGGTTTCAGGCAGCCGCTTGAATAACTGATATTTGGTACCTTTTTCAGCAGCTTGACGATATAATTTTAAATACTATGTCATGCAAAGCCATACCACTGCTAATGGGGGGAGTTCTTAAAGCTGTGTTAATTGGTGCTAGTTTGTTGTCATTCAAATATGGCAGAAGGTGAGGGGGTGATGCAGAGTGTGTTCGTGGTCCATTTTCACAGCGCAGATGTACATGACTCATAATTTTAAGGGTTTTTCTTTGTTCACGAAAAAGTGGTTTCGTCCTGTGGCTGTATGCAAATATGTAGGTTTCATTTGTATCAGCCATTTTTATTTGTTGCGTTTGCAATGCTAAGCAGGTCCACGATTGTGACCTCATGTCACCTCATGTTTCAGCATGATAATGCACGACCCCATGTTGCAAGGATCTGTACACAATTCCTGGAAGCTGAAAATGTCCCAGTTATTCCATGGCCTGCATACTCACCAGACATGTCACCTACTGAGCATGTTTGGGAAGCTCTGGATGGACATGTACGGCAGCGTGTTCCAGTTCCCGCCAATATCCAGCAACTTCGCACAGCCATTGAAGAGGAGCGGGACGACATTCCACAGGCCACAACAGCCTTATCAATTCTATGCGAAGATGTGTCGCGCTGCATGAGGCAAATGTTGGTCACACCAGATACTAACTGGTTTTCTGATCCACACACCTACCTTTTTTTTAAAAAGGTACAGTATCTGTGTCCAACAGATGCATATCTGTATTCCCAGTCATGTGAAATCCATAGATTAGAGCCTAATTTATTTATTTCAATTGACTGATATCCTTATATGAACTGTAACTCACTAAAATCGTTTAAATTGTTGCATGTTGCATTTATATTTTTGTTAAAAAATATAAACGCAACATGCAACAATTTAAACGATTTTAGTGAGTTACAGTTCATATAAGGATATCAGTCAATTGAAAAAAATTCATTAGGCCCTAATCTATGGTTTTCACATTAATGGGCAGGGGCGCAGCCATGGGTGGGTCTGGGAGGGCATAGTCAGAAATAGTTTTTCCCCACAAAAGGGCTTTATTGCAGACAGAAATACTCCTCAGTTTCATCAGCTGTCCGGGTGGCTGGACTCAGACGATCCCGTAGGTGAAGAAGCCGGATGTGGAGGTCCTCGGCTGGCGTGGTTACACGTGATCTGCGGTTGTGAGGCCGGTTGGACGTACTGCCAAATTCTCTAAAACGACGTTGGTGGCGGCTTATGGTAGAGAAATGAATATTCCTGCAGTCGGCATGCCAATTGCACGCTCTCTCAAAACTTGAGACATCTGTGGCATTGTGTTGTGACAAAACTGCACATTGTAGAATAGTATTTTATTGTCCCCAGCACAAGGTGCACCTGTGTAATGATCATGCTGTTTAATCAGCTTCTTGATATGCCACACCTGTCAGGTGGATGGATTATCTTGGCAAAGGAGAAATGCTCACTAACAGGGATGTAAACAAATTTGTGCACAACATTTGAGAGAAAAAAGCTTTTTGTGCGTATGGAACATTTCTGGGATCTTTTATTTCAGCTCATGAAACCTGCGGCCAACACTTTACATGTTGCGTTTATATATATAAAAAAGCACCTGCTCTGCAACCTCACTGTCCCTCTTTCTCATGCTAACTGACTGACCCCAACTTTCTCCCTCTCTCTACAATACAGTGACAGCTACATTGTGCGCGTCAAAGCGGTGGTCATGACCCGGGACGACTCGAGTGGCGGCTGGCTGGCCCAGGACGGTGGATGCCTCAGCCGTGTGGGCGTGTGCAAGGTGCTGTCGGCCGAGCTGCTGGGTCGAAGCAGCTTCCTCATCCACGGCGAGCGCCTCAAAGACAAACAGGTAAAGCCTTTGCTAGTGCTCAGACCCAAATCCTGACTTGTTACAGTAACAATTATCTCACTAGCTTCCAAAGTAAGAAGTGTCGTTGGTAACGCGGGATCAAATCCCGTCCAGGGCAGATGAGGGTCGATTCTGTCACACACATTTAGAATGTATTGACAAATCCTTAATTGTCACCAATGAACGTTTTTCGGGAATGTTCATGTCACACATGTGTGTTTGTCAGATATCGGACCTCTGCTTTTTTTCCTCTGTTGCTCTTTCTGTTCCTTTATAGATTATTCAGGTAGTAGAATCAGTGTGGGCTTGCGTAAAGAGGATTGCACTTTTAGCCTACTTTGTTTGGAGCATGGTTTAGTTTATAGTCCATTCAAAACGTGTGCCTCCTCCCAGGTGATTCTGGAATGCTTCCTGAAGAAGGATCTGGAGTACACCAAGGCCACGCCCACATTTCACCACTGGAAAGTGGACAACAAGAAGTGTGGCTTGACGTTCCAGAGCCCTGCCGATGCGCGCGCCTTTGACCGTGGGGTCAGGAAAGCCATGGAGGACCTGACGGAAGGTACGGGAGGGGAAGGCGAAGACTATGAGGGCTGTATCGCAATGCTCTTGAATGGTATACATCCCTTTCCTTTATAGCCACTGTTAGGTGAAAGAGGTGGATAGGTAACCATGTTGGTTTAACTTATCAAATGCGTTCAGATCATCATAGTAAGAAAAGGAAGATGTTTGATGCTATGGGGATGTGGAAGTCCAGCTGAAGTGGTTCAGCCTCCAGGTTACTCACTATTGGCTTATTCTGCCATCTTTGTTTTCCAGGATCTACCACCTCTTCTTCGACCATCCAGAACGAGGCCGAGTTGGGTGACGACGATGTTTTCACCGTGAGTCCCTCCCCTTGTTCCTCTATTGTAGTTTCAAACACCAGCAAGTTCAGGGACATTATAAAACACTTGAGAGAATCCAAGTTTGTCTGTTTTGGTTAGGGTCAGGTTTATAGTCCCACCCAAAACTCTGGGCTTCATGTCAATAGAGACGCTATGTTTCCCATCTATGGTCATGGCTGTCCACTTGCATGTTGGACTCCATATTGTTTCCGTCTGCAAGATCACCTCTAGTCTGTGCTTGGTCAGGCTTCTCTCTCGACTTCACTTATAGTCCTTTTTCTTTTTTGAAGCGCGTGTGAAGGTTTCCCCCAAAAGCAGGGAAGGAAGTTATTTTTGTTTTGCCCATTTCGGGAAGAGATGGCCCTTTGTTTTTGAGCAGGAGATGGCTGGTGTGATAGTAACAGGCGGCTGGTAGGGGGGGATGAGGGAGGGAAGGAGGAGGAAGAGAGAGGAGGGGTAGGTATCCTGTAGTGTTTTGACCAGACTCCTCCGCCGTTTGGCATTTGGTTTGTCGCCGTCACAGGAGATGAGGAGCAGCAGGCGGGGGTCGCGAGGTCTCTTCCTGCACCCCCCCACCCACTCCTCTAAAACTATCATTAGCAGCTGCTTCCTAGCAAACTGCCTCTGTGATTTAACACCATGGGAAGGGAGGGGGGAAGGAGGGGAGGACTGAGAGAAGGGAACGCCTTGTGTTGCCTCTCTCTCTTTCCTCATGTTGAACAGTCTGGAGAGAGCTGGGGGTTTTTGGGCCGGCCCTCTTGGAAGAGGGAGTTGCTGTGCGTGTGCACACTGATGCTTCCTTCAGCTGGGTTTTGACTTGCCTCCATTGTGGATTTCTGCAGATGGATGTTTTTGTTAGCCAGCAATTGTGGATGTTCAAAGAGCACGTTTCGAAGCAAACGTTTAAATACCTTCATTGATAATGCTCGAGATGATTAAACATGCTAATTTACTTGAGTGCAGAAGCTGTGAAAGGGCATGTGGCTAGCATAGTTCAGTTTCTCAAGCTACCTGCTTTGACACATTAGACAAGATGGGCCACTTCCATCTCGTAAAGAACAAGAAGGCCCGCACACTCTTTAAGCTCCCAATTCACCGCTTTATTGACAACGTTTCCATCCCAAACGGATCTTCGTCAGAACAAACAGACGGAGTGCTCACTTTCCAAAATATACACATTTCACGTCACATGACCATTACGCACATGATGCATGGTGGGTATGGAAACAATTCAATTAACTTTTGTGCACAAATAATTAATCACAGAGATACATATGGTCATAAAGGATTATATACATACAAATGAGTTCAAGTTAAAACCTAGGCAACCGTAAAAAAATATTTTTGAATACCTGCCCATATGACCATTACGCGCAAGAGGCGTGGTGGCCGTAGATATAATTCCAGTGACCTATTTCAAAAACAACTTGTGTATCTCTAATAATTTGATATCAATGAGATGGGCACATGAAGTAGGTACAGAATCTAATATATACAGTGCATTCAGAAAGTATTCAGACCCCTTGAGTTTTTCCACATTTTGTTACGTTACAGCCTTATTCTAAAATTGATTAAATAGTTTTTTCCCCCTTCTCAATCTACACACAATACCCCATAATGACAAAGCAAAAACAGGTTTTTAGAAAATTATGCTAACTTATTAAAAAACTGATATCACATTTACATAAGTATTCAGACCCTTTACTCAGTACTTTGTTGAAGCACCTTTTGCAGCAATTACAGCCTCGAGTCTTCTTGAGTATGACGCTACAAGCTTGGCACACCTGTATTTGAGGAGTTTCTCCCAATCATCTCTGCAGATCCTTTCAAGCACTGTCAGGTTGGATGGGAAGCGTCTCTGCACAGCCATTTTCAGGTCTCTCCATAGATGTTTGATCGGGTTCAAGTCCGGGCTCTGGCTGGGCCACTCAAGGACATTCAGAGACTTGTCCCAAAGCAACTCCTGCATGGTCTTGGCTGTGTTCTTAGGGTCATTGTCCTGTTGGAAGGTGAACCTTCGCCCCAGTCTGAGGTCCTGAGCGCTTTGGAGCAGGTTTTCATTAAGGATCTCTCTGTACTTTGCTCCATTCATCTTTCCCTCGACCCTGACTAGTCTCCCATCCCCTGCCGCTGAAAAACATCCCCACAGCATGATGCTGCCACCACCATGCTTCACTGTAGGGATGGTGCCAGGTTTCCTCCAGACGTGACGCTTGGCATTCCGGCCAAAGAGTTCAATCATGGTTTCATCAGACCAGAGAATCTTGTTTCTCATGGTCTGAGAGTCCTTTAGGTGCCTTTTGGCAAACTAAAGCAGGCTGTCATGTGCCTTTTACTGAGGAGTGGCTTCCTTCTGGCCACTCTACCATAAAGGCCTGATTGATGGTGTGCTGCAGAGATGGTTGTCCTTCTGGAAGGTTCTTCCATCTCCACAGAGAAACTCTGGAGCTCTGTCAGAGTGACCATCAGGTTCATGGTCACCTCCCTGACCAAGGCCCTACTCCCTGATTGCTCAGTTTGGCCGGGCGGCCAGCTCTAGGAAGTGTCTTGGTGGTTCCAAACTTCTTCAATTTAGGAATGATGGAGGCCACTGTGTTCTTGGACCTTCAATGCTGCTGACATTTTTTGGGAACCTTCCCCAGATCTGTGCCTCGACACAATCCTGTCTTGGCGCTCTACGGACAATTCCTTCGACCTCATGGCTTGGTTTTTGCTCTGACATGCACTGTCAACTGTGGGACCTGTGTGCCTTTCCAAATCATGTCCAATCAATTGAATTTACCACAGGTGGACTCCAATCAAGTTGCAGAAACATCTCAAGGATGATCAATGGAAACAGGATGCACCGGAGCTCAATTTCAAGTATCATAGCAAAGGGTCTGAATACTTATGTAAATAAGGTATTCTGTTTATTTTTGATTTTTAAATTGGCCCCCAAAAAAGTATCCTGTTTTCGCTTCATCATTGAGGTAATGTGCGTAGATTGACATGGACATTTTTTATTTAATCAATTTTAGAATAAGGCTGTAACGTAACAAAATATGGAAAAAGGGAAGGGGTCTGAACTTTCCAAATGCACTGTATGTACAAAATGACCAAGTAGGACAAGTAAGACAAATCAAAGTGACATTCATGTAAGTAATGGTCTGATATCAAACTCTTGGTTCAGACCTTTAGGAGAAATGGTGCACAAACGGTGAATCCAATACAATTCTCTTCTCAATAATAGATTATCAGTATCTCCTCCCCTCCTAGGTGTCTTAACATGTTCGATACCAATGTATCTCAGAGAGCTAATGTTGTGACTTCCATCTCTTGCCTGGAGAAAAGCCTGTATGTCCATTTGGCACACTCACACCACCATACTTGCAATCACAAACACATACATACACAAGGTGCAAACACATATGGCTAGACACTAAACAGGCTTACACAAACAGAAGAAATTGGAACTAGTGGTCAATTGCCTATTTCCTTCCCTGTTAAGGTCTTGGCACAGGAAACCCTTAACCTGAAATAGTTTTATAAACCCACCAAGAGACAAATATAACCCCCCAGAGCTAGGGATGGGCATCTTTAACGAGATATATTTCCCCACAAATACTGTAAAACTATTTAGTTTACTTGTCAAAATTAAAAACGTGTTATATTGAGAGAGTGGGGTTATGCTTGTCAAGCACAAATAAACGTTCTCTGAGGGGGACAAGCAGCAGCAATCTCACATATTTTGCCACTGCAAAGCGAGCAGGGAACACAGCTCATCACGTCAATGATAACGCAAGATATGTTACCTCTCAGCTTTGTGGAGGGAGAAGGCTTCCTTCGCCTAATGGCATTTGTGGAGCCAGAGTACAAGGTGCCATCGCGAAAAACTATAACTGCGAGTAGAGAATTGGTATGACTGAGTGCATTCGGAAAGTATTCAGACCCCTTCCCATTTTCCACTGTTACGTAACAGCCTTATTCTAAAATTGATTAAATTTATATTTTTCCTCATCAATCTACACACAATACCCCATAATGACAAAGTAAAAACAGGTTTTTAGAAATGTTTGCTAATTTATTACAGATAAAAAAACAGAAACACCTTATTTACAGAAGTATTCAGACCCTTTGCTATGAGACTCAAAATTGAGCTCAGGTGCATCCTGTTTCCATTGATCATCCTTGAGAAGTTTCTATAACTTGATTGGAGTCCACCTGTGGCAAATTCAATTGATTGGACATGATTTGTAAAAGGCACACACCTGTCTATATAAGGTCCCACAGTTGACAAAGCAAAAACCAAGCCATGAGGTCAAAGGAATTGTCTGTAGAGCTCCGAGACAGGATTGTGTCGAGGCACAGATCTGGGGAAGGGTACCAAAAAATGTCTGCAGCATTGAAGGTCCACAAGAACACAGTGGCCTCCATCATTCTTAAATGGAAGAAGTGTGTAGATTGTTGAGGGAAAAAAGTAATTGAATCAATTTTAGAATAAGGCTGTAACGTAACAAAATGTGGAAAAGGTGAAGGGGTCTGAATCCTTTCTGAATGCACATTTTTTTCTTCTCCAGTGCAGGCCTTGTGTTCTAAAAATAGATTTTTATTTCCATACGAGTACTCGAAAAGAAATCATGCGAGTACTCGAACAGTCAAAACGTTTCAAATACCCATCCCTACCCAGAGCTAGCTAGAATGTGGCCACCTCCGGCAGTTCACCAGATCATTTCCCTGAATGCCAGTTCCGTTCCTGGCATGGATAACACGGAAACCTCATACAACAAGGCATCAAAAGCATCGGTCCAGTAAGGCATACATACACTCGTGCACAGCTATAACTGCAGTGTGTGTTGCTGTTATATCACAGGGTTTTGAATAGGCCTAATTTCCAGGGAGGAGAGAGCGAGGGATATGTACATGAGTCATAGTGGTGCATTTGCAGTGGAGGCCTCTGCCTGGCAGCCTCCATCCCAACTGCTGCTGCTGCCTGACCCACTGTACTTTACCCAGCCTACACACAGTTAGCGATCCTAGAGGACATGCTAACCCTTTACTACCACTGTACTCTGCCTACACACTGTTAGCTAGCCTAGCGGACATGCTAATATGTTACTTATTTATCTAGCAGATACGCTAACTCTTACAGGGACACTGCGAGATTTAGGTTGGTTTTAACACTATATCCATGGAGCTTTTAAACTACGGTGCACAACATGGTTCAATGTGCCAATAAATCAGCACTGTCAACTTTTTCAGTTTGACATATTGCCAGCGTCTTGGAGCTTAAATTGGGATCTGTATACTGTGCTTATGATGATACAAAAAAAAGAGTAGGCCTAACAGAGAGCGAACTTGGTGAACAAGGCATTTGTGGTAAGTGCATGGATCTATATACATCTTCGCCGTTCCTGGAAGTCTCCCAGTACAGTAGGCAGCTCCTCTCAAAAGCATGGAAATAGACGCTATAACTAAACCAAATGCTGGGTGGTTGGTAATTTAGTCTTACAAAAAGCTATACATAGTAAATGATATTGTATAAATTCGTTAATTTTACTGAAAATCATAAACGAGATTCTATCCTCTTCCTCATTCTCTGTCCCGTTGTTGGATAGAGATCAGAACATTGTATCTTTACCATTATGGTGTCTGTGAGCGCCATTGAGACAGATAAAACGTTGCGATCTCTAAATCTGTGACAACGGGAAAGAGAATGATGTGGATAGAAAATCAGTCAAATTAACACATTTACTATGTATAGCTTTGTAAGACACTAAGCTTTGGAGTAGTTGGAAGGTCTATTTCCCTGCTTTTGAGAGGTGCTGGCTACTGTACTGGGAGGCTTCCAGAAATTGTGTTAAGCTAACGATATACTAACTTTAATCATCTCCAAACTGCACGCAGAGACATAAAAATGGTTTTCAATGGGTTCGTCTGACTCTGGGTAAGTAGAAAAACGACCTAAAATCTAGAAATCTGTGTCCCTTTAAGCTAGCAGACATGCTAACACATAACAAGACACGCTAAAACGTGATGCTGACAAGACTACCAAGCTCAAGAGAAAAGACGCTACTAAAGAACACGACTAGGAAATGGTAAAGTACTACACTACTACTAAAAGAAACTGAGATGGGCCTTCACTGCTACACAATTTTATCCACTCTCAACGTTAATAATAGCAACCTCTGTTGATGATACTAGGCTAGTGAATCCGTCCATTGTAACTCATTTGCTTTCCTCTTGTCTGGCGTACCTAGCCTTTATCCTAAATCTGATAGTGATGGGAAGTCCAGGTCCTTGCTTCCCCTCTTTCTCTTCTTTTTGTTTCTCCGTCTCCCTTCCGATGGCATCAAAGAGGAAAAGGGCCTAGCGTGTCATTACCACAGGATGTCTAGTCAGGGGGAAGAGGGCCCGTCAGTAATCCGTCACTGCCTCCCTGTTTACATAGCTGGCCCTACTTAGAAAAAGAAGGTCCGCTCAAGGGAACGCTTCAATTCGCCTCGGTTGCAGATTCCCCCCCCCCCCCCCCCCCCCTTTTTGTAAAATTATTTTTGAATCTAGCCACATTCCCCTGTGGCCCAGAGAGCTAGCCTGAAGGAGGGGGAAGGTCACATTGTATTAGATAGGATCTGTCTTTTTCTAAAAGCCTGAGGGAACTGAAGTCCCGGCACAGATGGAGGAGAGAGGACAATGACGAATGACCTTTACCCCCGTCTCTCAACCCCCCCCCCCCACCACCCCAAAGGCGCTAGAACAATATTAGTCAAGAGTAAATAAGACACTCCCTGGGATGATGCAATACTTCCTCCTCTTTTTGGAAGGTCCGGTGTGACTGGTGAGATTTGGACAGACTGTTGGAATGTCTCCCTTTTGGGGCTTGCGGGGGGGACGTTTAACAAGGGTGCGGGAGGCTCAAACACCTCACACTGTGTGTATAGTATCAGTCTTTTGGACATCAGGTTCTTTTTGAACGGGCTGCTGGTGAGGATACTGTCCACTCTGTAATGTCGATGAGGCCGAGGGTAGTTTTAGAATCGCCAGCTGCCGCGAGTTCCATTCCTGTGTCTGGTCTGGAGGCTAAATTGATAATTAGCTCAGCCACAAATACACCCCTCCCCCCTCCCCAACCACAGAAATCATACCGAGCACAGGAACACACATGCACACACACTTACAAATATATCTTACATATGCACACACACACAAACACTCACAATTAGACCGCGGCGCACACATGCACACATCCCCCAACCGGCCCCACAGTAATCACACTTAGCACAACACATACACACACAGGTCCTACTATTTGGCTTTTCTTGTGCTCTAGGGCACAGTGGCTAGTAGCTGGCTTGTGTGTGTGTGCTTGTGTGTTGTGTGTGTTACTCTGTAATTACCTCAAAGGGCTCCTGCCCCCCACCAGAAGCAGCCCCTTGCCTTAATCTCCAGTCTTAATTCGCCTCCATTCACACCCAAACCAAGAAATGATGAAAATCTCCAAACAAGGCAGAGGTATGCCTTTGAAATCCGAGGCTGCGCCACACACATCTCACATCTCCCCTAATCAACACGCCTGGTAGACTTCCATGGCTTTTGTGATGAACATGGGTAATTTAGTCCTTTTACATTCCATAGGCCTTGCGCTATTAGTACTCGGTAGCATTTCTTTCTCCCTCTCTTTTTATGTTTTTCCCCCTCAAGAAAGCCCCGCTGTTGGAGTAAATATCTGAACAGGGTCTGTGTTTGTAATCATCTCCATCAGACAGGGGCCCCGGTTCGCCTCCTAAAGAACATTTCTCAACCCTAACCAAGCTCTTGGCATCGCCCGAGGAAGGGATGCTACTTTTAGCTTTGGCCGGGCTAGCCGAAGCCTCTTTATAGCAAGAGAGGCTGTCGGTCCAATAAACTTGGGACTAAGAAACAAACCGTCCAAAGTGAATGAGAGTGGACGAAAGAGGTGGTGCTCTCATTTTGATATCATATGCCGAGGCCGGATTCCCTCTCGTTTGATAACCGCAGCCTAGCAGTGCTCTGGCACACACCTTGGCAGCGCAGTGTTGTGGTGAGGCGAACGGGGGAACCGAGTTAGCTCAAAAGCGCGCCCCCAACATGAAAGAGGTGCCCCTCGCCGGGCCTCAACTGGTGACGCAATCGACCACACTTCTGGTCTTGCTCGACGCTAAAGGGGGCTGTAAGTCGTAAGTCTCCTAGCTGGAATTAATTTAACCTACCCTCAATATAAATAAAGTGAGACTTCAGAACAGTTTTTATCACTTTTGTTCTTGAAGGCATTATTTTTTGGAGGCGTGGGGGGTTGTTGGTTAATTGCATACAGAAGTAGGGAGATTTTGACTCTGAGCCATGACACGCTTCTACCTTAGCAATGGCCCATTGAGTGCGTGCCATGTGCAGGTTGGTTTGTTGGTCTCTGTGTACATTATACCACTCCAAAAGTAGTGGTATCATTCATTACATTGCTTAGCCAAAACTTCTCAAAAACCTTGAAAAGTTTATTTTGGTTAGAAGAGCGTGTTGTTTTGTGGAACATCTTTGGTCCGCTAAGTACTGTGTGTTGTGTTAGCGTAGCCAAACACAATGTGCCAGAAAGTGGTGATGTTTTCTAATGTAAAGCTTGGGCGGATATTCCTCCCATGCAGTGTAGTCGTGGGTCGTGTTCATTATGCACCAAGCGGAAGAAAACGGACCAAAACAGGGAGGGGCTATCTGAAGCTGTCCAATAAGAAATGCACATTTTCAGTTGCAAAACGTTGTCCGTTGCGTGCCCTAATGAACAGGACCCTGTCCTGACTCGTGTTTGGTTTGGTCTTTTCTCTCAGAATGCCACCGACAGCTCGTCCAACTCCTCCCACTCCCAGAAGAAGGAGCCCGCCCTGCAGCTGCAGACCCTGGCTCCGCCCAGCTTCTGCGAGCCGCGCCTGCACCACTGCATCCTGGGCCACTTCTACGACCAGCACCGACCCTCGGACCACTACTTCCTGGATCAGGTGGGTGGCTGGGGGACGACGGTGGCGAAGGTGGGTCACCAAAACTTTGATCTTTAAAAAAAAAATAATATGTATTGGAGCTAGAGGGTTGTGGCTACATTTTACTACAATGGGTAGGTGAGGGGAATGAGTGTAAGTGTTCTTGAAGCATAAACTATGGTGGTAGTGTGATAATGTATTTTCAAGTTGAGAATATCTAGATAGGCCTGGAAGTTGACTGCTTGTTGGAAGACGTTTAGATGCCCCATGTTAGTTTTGTAGTTTGTAGACTGGTCTGTGTAGTTCTCATCGTTTTTGCTCTCCTTTACCTCTGCAGTCGGTTCCCATGTTCCCACGCCACGTCAGCTTCCAGGTGGAGGAGGAGGAGATCGTGCGAATCAACCCTCGCGAGCGGACCTGGCTGACTGGGTACGAGGACTACCGGCACGCCACCGCAACGCGCGACAAGCTCATCCAGCATCCCGAGGACACCGACGCATACGTGCACTTCGCCAAGAGCGAGCCGCCCAAGCACGACTACACCTACCCTTACCCCCTGGGCCTTGATCCCCACCAGCACGCAAGGGACCCCAAGATAGGCTGCATGGAACGACTAGGTGGGGGCGGCCTTAGCTGCGGACACAGGGCGGTGGTCACAGCCCAGCCCCGCACCCTCCAGCTCAAGGGCAAGCGGCGGAAGGAAGACGGCGAGCGCTCGCGCTGCGTCTACTGCCGGGACATGTTCAACCACGAGGAGAACAGGCGTGGGCGCTGCCAGGAGGCGCCGGACCCCATCCAGACGTGCATCCACCGGGTCAGCTTCATGTGGTGCGCGGACAGCCTTCTCTACCACTGCATGTCGGACCCGGAGGGCGACTACTCGGACCCGTGCTCGTGTGACACCAGCGACGAGCGCTTCTGCCTGCGCTGGCTTGCCCTGGTTGGGCTGTCGCTGCTGGCCCCCTGCATGTGCTGCTACGCCCCCCTGCGCGCCTGCTACCGCTGCGGGGTGGCCTGCCACTGCTGCGGGGGCAAGCACAAAGCCGTGGGCTGAGGGCCCGGAGGTGCCAGCGGAGAGAAAGAGAGAGGGCAGAGTGGAGAGTAGAACAGTGACTCATGGAAGGGACCGGAAGAGGGTGGCCCGCTATTCTTTTGTTTTGTGTTTTTTGTTTTCGTTGTTGTTGTGTCTCTCGGCCAAATTCCAGATGGGAAAACAATTGGCTTGTCCCGATTCTTTTCGAAATGGAAGTTTCTGTTGGTGGAAAGAAAGGAAAAAAAATAGTTTCCTATTGTTTTTTTATTTTATTGTTTTTTATAGGGGTACCATGCCTACGGCTTCAACGTCTTGCATTACAAAGACTAAAACAACGAATATTCATTTATATATAAATATATATAAACAGGTACTTTATATTTTTACACTCGTGTTGTAAAGGCTTGAATATTTTTCTTTTTCTCAGTGTTTTGTGAGGTCAGTGTGAGCGTTGTTTTCTGAGGGGGGTTCTCACTTTGTGTTCCCCTCGCCATGGCTCACCACCAATCACAGATCAAGCTGGTTCCCGCCTGTAAAGCAGAGGCACTTAAATCAAGGATGTGTCCTAAATGGCCCCTTATTCCTTATAAAGTGCACTACTTTTGACCAGAGGCCAATGGGCCCTAGTCAAATGTAGTGCAATATATAGGTAATAGTGCCATGTGGGATGCAGCCCAACTGTGATCACATCTGCCCCTCCACAGCCAATGAAACAAAAGAAAAGGTAAACGTTTAACCAGTGTCCTCATTCTGCTCCTTGACTACTCCTGACCTAGCCTGGTCCCAGATCTGTGCTGTCTTGTCAACTCCTATGGTTGTCAATGGCTATAGGAGTTGGCTATACAGCCCAATTAGACCTGGGGCCAGGCTACCCCTGACTATAAAGATTTTTTAAACCAAATTCAACCTAATCTCAATTAATGTCAGTGGAGAGACACCTGGAAAAAAACATGTAGAAGTACCATTCTACTGCTCAGTCAAGTTAGACTGAATGTATTGTGGATTCGGCCCAGAACAAACGAAAAAATGGGTCAGGGGTACTTGAGGATTGGATGGGGAAACACTGCTTTAGACACTTAATCTGTAGGGTTGTGTGTGTGTGTGTGAGACTTCCTATGTGCAAAGGTCTGGAAAATGGAATGGGCAACAATGTATCCCTGATTGCTATTGTTGTGACTTCAACTAAAAGCCAAAATGACAAAATAAGCTGCAGCATTTATATAGAGTATCTAAATTAGTCATTAAAAAAAAGAAACAATTATATCCTCAATCAACCGTTTATTACAGTGGAAGAGGAGAACTCAAGCCTTAGGTGAATTTTTTTATTCAGTTGATGCTAATGTTTGACATGTTTGATGATAATCTTTTGATATAGTTTTTATTTATTTGCCTTGCTAAATTTAGACACCAGCCTAAGGGACTTGGGGGTTAAGAGGAAGGGGACGGTCCCATAGTAAACTAAACACAGCCAAGAGGAGGGTTTTTTGTTACCTTTTGAGATGGATGATGTCGTTGTCCACTCTACAGTGTCAATGGTGCTTTCTTTTGCGTGTCTTTTCTTTTGTCTTTCAAAAGGATACTCAACGAGGCTAACTGTCAGGGAATCACGATCTGTAGAGTTTTGCTCAACTTTAGCTCGAGAGAAAGACAGTTTTGATCTGGTTGCTCATCTATCCCCACTCCCTTCAAAGGTATAAGATTGTGGGTTCTCCAACGAAGGGACCTGCAAGCACACCTGATTCAACTAATCACCTAATCGTGGTCTTCAGTCTGTATCCATTATTAGCTGATACGGGTGCGTTTACTGCAAGGCTGGAACGAAAGGCTGCACACCCAGTAGCTCACCAAGACCAGAGTTGGAGACGAGTGAAGAAAATCTATTCTTCTGTAGTCCAATAACTCCCACTTCCTGGTCTTTTACTCAGTATTACATTACAGCCAATGGCAAGGGAGGAGGCTGATGTCTGTCAGCCAATCACATCAGTCAGGCAGGTGGTGTCAAAATGTATACAAAAATAAAATGGACGCTACAGCATGCATATACTTGAACATGTATGTGTGTATGTCTTGAAACAAAAACTAGCCTCAAATTGAAACCACCCAGTAACCTCACCTCGTGGGAAGGAACATTAAGGTTTGATCTTTCTCTGTATGAAGCACAACACTAATCAGAAAAACCTCATGAACAATATGCGCAAATTGCTGTGAAGTGTCCGATCTCGGGTCGCGTCAACGTGGTAGAAAATACATCTAATGCTGTCTATCCCAGTCATACATTAACTAATCGTCATAACCATTCAAGTACCAAGCAATGTCTGGGGTTAAATGGGTGACGGTACCATGGCGTTGCGGGTTCTGTACAAAAGCTCTCGTTGTGTCCATGTCTTTCTCTTTACTCTCTCTCTGCCTTTCTTCCTTCCTGTTTTCTACCTTGTTCTTGTTTGTCAGCTTTGCAATACTGTTGCCATTCATTGTAGAGAAGATCCAAGTTTTATTTTTCTATCTGTGGTAAAAGAAAAGTTAACCAAAAGCAGTTTGTCTGTTTGGTGCAGTGTCTAATTCCTGCACACATTTAACTATTAAAGGAAAGTGCCTGAAGCATCCTCTTCATCTATCTCCTCATATATACTTAGTATTTTTTGTTTGTTTAGAAAAACAGTTCAATCGATTGTTTTGTTTTGTCTGTTATTTTACAATACGCATTTTTACCTCTGTAAAACAAAAAAGCTACAATATATATATATATATATCAAGTGTATGATGTACATTTTAAGTTCTATTTTTGTATTGTTTCTAATATGATCGACACGACTCTTTGCTTTTAAAAAGAAAACATGAGAAAAGAGATTAACATCTGTATAAATGCCAATACATCATATGGAAACTACCAGAAGCATGGCCTGGATAGTAAGTACTTTTTCCGTGTGTGTGCGTGTTCATTTCCACTGTATATTACAGAGATGTGGTTTTGAGAGATTAAACCATGTTACAGTGGCATCTCACACAGCCTGTACATTTATAGCATATACATAGCATTCCATATAGTATTTCTATAGAACCTTTCAACAGTAGTTTAGTGTTGTAGGCCAGCACTTCCCTGTGTTGCATCCGTCCTTTAGGAGCATTGGTGGGGGGATGGGCTGGGTGCTGCTGATCGACCTCATGCTACTTGGCCCTGTCCCATCCTGCTGCAACACGGTAATCCATACATGGGCCAGGGCATGTCCTGAGGGTGTGTGAGCGTTTCAGTTTGTGTTTGAGTGTACGCATGTTCTCGATTTAAAACGCACATCTCTATCGTATGTGTGTGTATCTTAAAGAGGGAACGACGGCAGCAGCCAGATCCTGTCTTTTCTCCGGAGTATGTTTTTCCCCTTATCTGTCAAGACTGAAATATATACGCATTGGGGCTAGACAGGTTCACAGAGCTGTACCGTGCTCCGCAAGTCTCCAGAACATCTATAGAGGACGCAATGTTGTTTTGCGCTGTAGGTCTCTGGAAATGCATATGGAAGACTGTCAGAGAGCGAGAGAGAAAAAAGAATGCCCCTGGCCAGCTACGGAACTCGGCGACTGCAAATAGTATCAAACGTCAACATGTGCAAACATTTAAGGCATACTTATTCTAATGAGGTCACTTTTTTTCGCCCCCTCCTTTCAATCAGGGTTTGAAAGAAAGAACCAACACTTAAAACGCTGTTGCCATCTTCGACTTTTCTTATTTAAGACTTGTGTACTGTGATGTCATAGCCTGCCCCCTTAAAATAGTTTTATAGATTTAAATTAACCTCCATCCAAAAACACTTTAATGTGTTGTTTTGAAATACAGTGTGTTACAGTATGACGATGGAATGGGAAGGAGAAGGCCTCTAATTTGGTTCCCCGCAGAGAGGGTTTCAGCACTGTTGAGCACATAGTTGTTTCCGTGTGTCAAAATGGCACCTTTTTTGTCAAGGTGTGCACAAGCCCATGCAAGCAAGTATACCAGTAAGCTTAATGGCTAGCAATGAATATAGGCTAAAATAAATAATAGTTTATATCACAAACACGAAAATGTTTGCCAATGAACAACTCTGTGTAAGCGGTCTCTATATCAACTGGACAACACCACCATTATTATTTGAGGTGAGTGCTATCAAGGTTTGTCAGTGTGACTGCTAACAAGTTTACTACCAAGCTAGCTTTGAGTGGACGTTAAGAATACTTCTATTTAGCAGTAGGCCTGTCCTTCCCAGATTTTTGGCAAATGTGTGCTGTGCATTGCTAGCTAGCTAGCTCGCCAATCATATCAGTAGCTATAGCCATTCAGTCAAAAACTTTTTTAAAGTTTCCTATTTTAGAGAGGGAAAAACAGGAGACATTTTGAGAAGTCAAGTTAGGCTAGCTTTCTTTGAGGAATAATAGGCTATTTCATAGGGTTGAGCGTGAGACTTATCATGGAACTTATTGTAGTCCACTACCTGGTTGTAGCTCTCAGTATCATAGTTATTAGGCATATCCAGTGCTATTGCAAATGCAGTAGCATCACTAAAACATTCCTAAATAACCCAGTCCAAGATTGGTGACACCATAAACATTTTTACCACCCTGACCTGAGCCTAGGAGTTGACAACAGAGACTGGTGAGAACTAAGGATGTCGTCCATCATGTAGGACCCCAGACGAGTGATGTGTCAGACTCTATTCTGACCTGCTAGGCCTTGGTAAACAGACCAGTGTCTCCTGCATGTTGACCAGCGCTCGCCATGTGAAACTGGACACAAGACCTCAACCTCAGCACGGTATGTCATGTAGTGTCTCTCCAATCCCCATTGAACCTGCTCTGTGTGAATGTGTGGAAGGCCACAGCCTGCGACCGATGGCCAAGGTTCCATGTGGTTTTAGGTCAACACTAGGCGCTGGGAACACCGTCCACCACCAGCTCCCCCCACAACCTTTATAAAACATGGTTAAACCGTGGCATCCGTCGTTAAAGTGGCGCTCCTGTTTACCACCACGACACAGTTGGACACCCTCTTGGCAGTCCTTAGCTGTCCAGTTGGCCTGCTTTTACATGTACGACGCATGCTTTAGCCGTGCACCCCCTCGTAGCAATGTTCTTGAATTTCTATACAGGACTACCTACTGCTGCAGGATTAGGAATAAAAACTTGCCGTCCATTTCCCACTGACCCATCCCCCCACCAGTGGTGATCTCGTCGCCGGAGCCCGAATGGTGGACACACCTCTGGCTCCAGTCCCATCCCGTGCTTAGCCAGAGAACTTCAAGGCTTTATTTGTGTACCGTTTCCTCATCGGTGGGAACATTGCAGGACACGCATCAGGATGTTATTGTGCACATATCACAACAGAGAGAGAGGGAGCCTCTCCATCCTCCGATGGACAGGGGAGAGGGAGGTGCTTTCCCACACTGCTCAGGGGCCGTGGGGTGGGGGGGAGAGGGGTAGAGTGGGAGGAAAGAGACAGGCGCGGTGGCATTGTCTCCACAAGTTCCTTTTTTGTTTTTCATCTCCAGCTATATATGGCTTCTCCCAGTTATGAAGTTATGAAGACTCTTCTATGATATGCTAGTTCAATAATTGGGTGCAAGCAGGAGGTTTGAAAGTGCTTG